TCTTTGTTTTCTTTCTTGTTTGAATTTGTTTCCCCTTTTGTTTTCCCCCCTCTTTTCAAAAGAGAATTCATCTTCTTCCTCCAAACCTCCTCCATTGTTTTTCTTTCAAGAGCTCCATACCCCAAAGAAATTCGGTTTTTTGTATGCTCCTTCTTGGCCGAAAATTTTCACTTTTCACTAGGGTTTCTCCCTCCACCTTCAAGCTCGGATCTTGACTCTTGGATTGGGGATTTCAAGCCTCTTGATTTGGGTAAGCTCCTCTTCACCATCCTCTTATTTTGTGGTAAAGGTTGCATTTTTATTCTTGTGGTAGACTAGGGGGCATGTATGCACTATTATTTCGGGGGGTTTTGTGCAAAAAGAGGTAATGGCCGAAACTTTGGGGGGTTTATTTGCAAAATTCGTGGGGGTTTATTTGCAAAATGGGACTGAAATTTTGAGGCTTGGATTTCATTCCCCTTTGGTAACAATTTGGATGGGTGTTTCATGCAAAAAGACCATACCTTATTGAGGGTTTTATGTGCAAATGTGGGGCCGAAAAGTTTTGGGGGCTTATTTGCAAAAGTGGCCGAAGAATTGGGGTGGTGTTCATGTAATAGAGGACTGAAGTTTAGGACCTAAATTACATGTTCATTTGGCCACAAGCTTGAGGGGTATTTTAGGCAAGAGGACCAAAAGTTGTTGGAGGGGTTTATTTGCAAAACAGCCCATAAATGTCTTAGAGGGACTTATTTGCAAAAGGCAGTGAACTTATGGCTGAAATCCAATGAGTTTTGACCACGAACTCATGATCAAAATTTTGATAAGGCATGTGGAGCCCAAACCAAGATTTTGTAGAGGGGCTTTTATGCAAAATTGGCTGAATTCTGCAAAAGGGCTCATTTGCAAATTTTAACCAAAATTGTGGGGTACCGGGGTGTTATATGATCGAATGTGACGATCATGACCCGGGTCACGCGTGTCCTTGACCTAGATTTTGGCCTTGAACACAAAGGGTATTTTGGGTATTTCACCAAAATTCACCGTGAAAGATGACAATCATCGTGCACGAAATTTGTAGGTTTAATTAGACTTCAATTATGAAATCCTATTTGTGTATAGGATTTTAATTAAAGTTCTTAATTTCCCTTTTAAATTTCGTATATTCATGTTTTAGATTGTACCTGACTTGCTGCTTTTCGTTGCAGATTTGCAATGTCTCCGCGTCGATCTCGTCCCCGGAGGAGCCGTTCTCGTTCACAGCATAGTGAGGAGGAGGTCCCCACGACATCCTCTCCCGCGGCTTCATTTTTCGGGGGTGAGAATTTATGCAGAGATTTTGTCTTACATCCCTGATTGACCTCTTTGCGGGTCATGAAGGAAGAACCGATACCTCTCTCGCGGAGGGTAAGGTTTCAGACTTGTTTTGCTTAGCCAATTCAAGTCTTCGGATATATTGGGGCGATTTTGTGTTGTCCTACACCTTATAGGTCGGTGTACGTTACCACGTTATTCACGTGATGACGCATGCCGTCCTTCTGGTGTAGGTCACTCAAAATCGTCTCTCCAATTATTCCGTGGATGAGTCTATCATTCTTCTTACGAGATGGATTTTCTGATTCCGCCCTTGTGCTTTATTGCAGTGGAATTTCCCGCGGGTAGCCTTCCTCCTCACGCCAACACCGGATGTAGTCGGGAGGTTTTCTCTTCCGCTACTCTTAGGCAGGCTGTTGGCCCACTTCCTCGGTTCGACGGGGATCGTCCAAATGACTCTTGCCGTTCGATACAGGAAGGAGGGCGCCATTGCTTGCGCCAACTTATCACAGATGCCTCCTTCACCCCTGATTCTACTTCCACTCAGGTTCTAAAGAAGCCGGGTTTTCTATTTGGAGATCATGTCAGGGATCCTGCCACGCTGACTCTTTGTGAGGAGCATTGGTTAACTCTTGACGGTGGAGCCTGTTTGTACATCCCTTCGATTCCACGCCACTATTCTTTCAGTCATTTGAAGGGGCAAGCCGTGGACCGGCAGATGTCTTGGCATCTTACTGAAGATGCTGATCGGGTTCAATGCGGATATGCTACTCACCATAAGACTCCTGGCTCTGAGGGGTATCATGACGTGCGTGGTCTACGACCCGGGATCATGGGTCTTGATACTGCACCCCCAGGCGAGGTGTCAGCTGCTGCTCCGACTGTGAGCAACCGTCTGGCTCTTCTTGGGAGACAGTTACCCCCATCGGAGTACAGATGTTATGGCTGGGCTTCCTCCCTAGCCAAAGGGTGGTGGGCGCGCATGACTGGTTTCGTCTTGGCGCGCTGGGAGAGGGATCTGAAGAGCAGTGGGTTGTATGCACCCATACGAGCTACTATGTACGGCATCCCAGTCAGCTGTCGCCATTTCTTGGCTTTGCTGGAGACTTATGTGCCCGATAGCAACACCTTCCTGACCAGCGGAGGTGAGCTAGGGTTGGCCTTGCACGAGATGCATTATGTTTCGGGTCTTCCGATGGGGGACTGTCCGTATCAGGAGTACTTCCCTACGAACCAGCAGCTGGAGTGTATGAAGAAAGATACTCCGGACATGTATGACACACTCTGGGATCTTACTTGCCACTACTACACTTCCTTGATCCAAACTTCTCCCCAAGCGAGAAGGAAGAGGCAGATCAGCTTGAAGCAGTTTGCCAGCTACTTGTTCCAGAACTTGGAAGGTGATTCCAGTGCGCCCATTCATGAATTAGACGTGATGACTCCTTCGGCCGTTAATGAGTTGTTGGAAAAGGCTGAGGTTCGTTCCTACACTATCGGCAGTGCTGAGGGGGCTTTTCCCGCGGGGACAAAGTTTCGCTCTTTTCTCCGCCGCGCACAGAGGTCTATAGGGTCCCGGGCGCTATTAGCAGGCTACCTTGCCCTTTGGTTGAAGAAGTGTGTCGTCCCGCACCAACCTTCTGACGCTCTACCCATCGAGGTGCTCTTCCCTGCAGTTCAGCTGGCTTATGGGAGAGAGCTTTCCCTGCTCCCAGCAATGGTTGCTAGTATCCATTGCGGGCTCAGGGGTCTGGTTAGCAGTTTTACACATATGGGTTCTGAACCATCAGCTGAGCTGGTTTGCCCAAAGGTTGAGCTCCCTTACGCATATTTGATGGCGTGGCTCGTTCTTCACCGTCCCGACTTGATGTCGGCCCCCAGCGTTGTTGACATCCCTGTCCCCTTCATGCAATTGTTGGAGCAGAGCAGATGGTTTGGGAGCAAATTTAGTGATGTTCAGCGAGAGCTCCGGGTCCGCAAGAGTTGGGAGTTCTTTAAGTGTTTCCCTCACTTTTCAGGTCGCTATGGCGACGTGCTGGTTGATGAGGAGAAACCTAGAAGTGACCGGACCGTTCTTGACGCTGGTTGCTTCCGGTGGTTAGTGAACATCCGTGTAGGCTATCTCGTCCTTCGGGTGAAGAACCAGTGCCACATAGAGCCTTATCTCCCTTGCCGCTTTGCTCGACAATTCGGCTATGACCAACTGTATGTCGGGAATCCGAGCCGCAGCCTGCGGGTTGAGGGAGGATTGATTGATGGCGTTCGAGCGTGGCTATGGACGATGGTGGGCTGTACTGGAGCCCGTTTTGCTCTTCCTTCGTACCGGCGTAAGCCATTGATCACTTTCCTCAGCTGCAAGTGGTTCCTTTCTGCATATGAGTCCATCAGCGCGAGGAGCCTCTCAGAGTTGCAGTCCGAGTATGCGGTCCGGGCTGCTATGATGGCTGGTCGCAGAGCTGAGCTTGCTCAGAAGCGGAGAAAAGGGCATGCCAAATCTCTTGTCTCAGACGAAGAAGAACTTCTCCCTGCGGGTGATGATGACGAGAACTCCGAGGACGAGTATGCGGACGTGGATACCGGCAGAGGGGACTTCGATACTGGTTTGTCCTATCTCTTTTAATTTTCATTTTCCATAAATGACAGCTCTTTTTCATTGAAATGGCTATTGTCATTTTAGGTAGGACAGCCGGTGATCATGAGCCCTCAGCTCCTACACACGTTGAAACGTGTGATAGGCCTGCGCATGTTCGACCCTATGGTCCTCGGAGGGTTGGTGCCCCGAAGAGGAAGAAGACTGCCCATAAGTCCCATGACGGTCAGCGTCCCTGTGGAGTGGACTTAGGGAGCACCGCCGATGGAGGGGGAGGTAACATTCAATTGCTCTTGCTTCAAGGTTGTTTACCTTTTGGGGATTTGTGACCATGTTTTGTGCTTCAGGTTTCTTCGAGGAGGGCGAACTCCCACCGGGTTCGGCGTCCCCTGGCGTTGACAACATGGATTGCTTTGTGCAACAAATGTGCGACGCTTTTCACGATGGGTCTTTGGGCATCGACCTTAACATCGATCTTGAGCAGATAAATAATGTTGAGCCCACAATCCCTTATTCAGGTATATCCGCATCCAATGTCATTTTCCTTATGTAAGGTGAAGGAAGATTTCTCGTTTGAGCTTTCCTCATCCTTCAACATTTGGGTTACCCTGCAGATGTTGCGATGGAGGGGCCAAGCTTCTCGAAGCCGGATGCCGGCTTATTAGCTGACATGCTGGCTGAGCAGACTTCCAGAGGGACCGAGAGACCATTCTTCGGGAACGATTCATCTACCGGTATATATCTGATTTTCTCCCTCTTGCCCGATATTTCATATGACTAATGAATGATTGATTATCGCAGCGTCTACCATTGGAGTTAGCCCGGTATCTATCCCTGGCATATCCAGTTTGCCTCAGAGCGACGGGCTTGCAGGTATGTATACGATTCAGGGATATTGTACTTTCCTATGTTTATCTGTCTTTTGACTAATGAGTGCAATCATAGGACCAGCCGCTAGGACTGATTCTCATATGACTCCTGGCATCCCTCAAATGCCCGCGGATAATGGATCTACAGGTATGCAGATCCCAATTCTTCTTATTCGTCTAAATTTTCATTTTGACTAATAAGAGAGTGTTATCATAGGACCAGCCGCTTGGGCCGATACCTTTATGACTCTTGGCATTCCGGCTGCATCTGAGGACATGGGGATTGCAGGTATTCATACGACCTTCTTATCCCGATTCTCCTTATTTGTCCAAATTTCCATTTGGTTAACATAGGAATGTCACTGTAGGACCAGGCGTTGAGCCTGATACAACTACAGTTCCTGGGGCTGAAAATCTTCATGGCAGTGGTGCCTCCCCGCCTTTGCCGAGTGGTGTGAGTACTCCGCCTGCAGGGGCTGACGTACCCTCTTCTGCTGCTGTCTCGGAGCCTGTCGGCTCTCAACCTGATGGGACATCCGTTGGCGTCGGTATGTTCGGAACCTGCCTTTTGACTTTCCTTTCCATATTCGATAGTTCACTGAGCTTCCAAGTTGTTGCTTGTAGGATCTCGATCTTCTTTGCACGAGCGTGTCCGTAGCCTTTTGGCCGATACTGATCCTGACGGAGAGGCTTTCCGTACGGACCTCAGCTTCTTCACCGCCTGGTATAATGGCTTGATCGAGAAGCTTCTCCACCGAGGAGGCGGCTTCGATCAGTTCCGGCGTTCCTTCTCTCGCCACATGACGATGATGAGGGAAGAAGGATACCCGGAACTGGCTGATTCCTTCACTGCTGATTTCGCTGCCCTGGAGTCAGAGATACGAGAGTTGAAGGAACTGGAGGTTACCGGGGCTTCTTCTTTCGTATCCTCTGAGTTAGAGCATAGGATGGAGCAGTGGCGTGAACTGAGATCTTCCGTCGGGCGTGAGCTTCAGTCACGCTAGAGCTCCCTTGCGCATCTAATGGCTAACATGGCGAGGATGGATAGGGAGAAAGCTGAGTTACTCCGTTCCTTGGACTCGAATCGCGAGGAAGCGACTAGGTTGAAGGAGGCCTTGAAGCGTGCCGAGGAATCCGCCGTTCTTATCGCAGATGACTTGATCGGACTAGAGCGTTCTCGTGACCGGGTACTCGAGGAGTTCGGATCCACTCAGGAGGGATTGATGAAGTTGAAGAGTGAAGCTGCGGAGATCTTGAGCTGTTCTGAGGAATCTGCCCGAGCAGATCTGCAGGCGGGACTTGAGCAGAGTTATGCAGATAGACTTTTTAGCTTAAAGTCTCATATTCTTAGCCGTCAGTTGCCTTCGGGCTAATGAGCTCTTTGTTGTATGCTTTTGACTTGACCTGTTTAATAGAAACTCCGCATTTGCTTCTTTCTTGTGATTTGTCTGTATTTCTTCTGAATGACAGATTTTATGGGATTTTTGGCAAACCCCCAGCCATCAACGGGTTTGATATGCCTTTACCGATCACCGTTTGAATCGGGCTAGCATGTGGATTGTCTAGATCCGTCCCACATGTAACGTTGTGCTAAGGAGATTGCTTTTCTTAGACTTGATGCTATGACTTTGAATACATAGACTTCGTCTTTCTTACGGGAATAGACTACCCGGCAACGCGTGTTAGGCATTGACTTTGGGGTTTTTGGCAAACCCCCAGCCTTCAACGGGTTTGATACGCCTTTACCGATTACCGTTCAAATCGGGCTAGCATGCGGATTGTTGAAATCCGTTCCACATGTAACGTTATGTTAAAGGAATGAACTCCCTTAGACTTAATGCTACGATTTTGAATACGTAGACTTTGCCCTTGTTACGGGAATAGGCTACCCGGCAACACGTGTTAGGTGTTGACTTATCCCTACTTAGGATTCGGGATAAAATTCCCCATGCACCAAGTGCGCGGATTGGAAGTTGAAAGTTGTGTCAAAATAGGAGAGGAAGAATTTTATATTCTATCTCCCGTTGGAAAGGAAACTCGAGGTAGGATTCCCACCCCCAGTATCTGGAAGGATGAACTGGGAATGGGATCTCCACTCCGAGCACCCGGAATGGTGAACTGGGAGTGGGGTCTCCACTCCGAGCATCGGAAAGGTCCGAGGAGAGGAAGAATTTTATATTCTATCTCCTGGTGCTGGAGAGGAAGAATTTTATATTCTATCTTCAGCTGGAAAAGAAACTCGAGGTGGGATTCTCTACCCCCAGTA